TTTGTTTAGTTCTGTGTATAGAGGTTGACTTAGTCCTAACTGTGTGAGTACTGCAGTGTGGGGAAATATGTAGTGGCGAGGGTGATAGGGTGATGGTGATGGTGATAGTGAAGATGATGATGATGATGATGATGTATAAAAAAACAACACTTGTATATACGCGTCACCATATAAGGTTGAACGTCCTTAACACAACACACGTTAACCCGGGTCACCACCTGATCCATCAAGCCGTGTAAATAATTAACATGTTCACACGTCACTCACTCACCCACGGTTATGCATACCCAATGAGTTACCCTAAGTGTCAGTCCTTTGTCCATGTGCCGTTGAGATAAATGCCCGTCCTCTATGCAACACTGATATAAGTGCCCGTTCTCTCACCAAGGGTTTACAACTTCAGGATACACTAAAATATATGTCTCTCTTAGCCACAGTGTAAATTTACAAACGTACAATACCTGCATGAGTATCCAGCCTTCCAGTCACGTACACTTGGATGATAATGATCAGTTTAGGTAAGCAACCATCCCTGCAGCTATTCAACATTGTGAGCTGCAACAAGACACCATCTTTACACCACGAGAAGGTCCCACACGGTGCTGCTCGACGACCATTAAAAGGTGGGTACAGTCACCCTGTTTGTTTTGGTTGTGATAACACACATATCTATGTTCCCTTATGGCCACGCTGGCTGAGTGTGTGTGTGTGTGTGTGTGTGTGTGTGTGTGTGTGTGTGTTACGTACTAAGTACATAATAGGTATACAGACACCGAGATGTTAAATATACACCTACTTAAGTACACAGACCCACGAACCTATATATACACAGATAAGAGAACACACACACACACACACACACATATATACACACCCTGGCCACACACAGCGGCGTACCAACGGCAGGCCAATGATGAAGGAAAAATAAACACTCGGGCGTAAAATTAAATACAAATATATACACAAGTGTGAGATGGAACACAAATACACAGATAATAATGATAGAAAAACACCTAACTTATGTTCGTCCCGGTCAGGATTGGTAGCAGGGGAGGGGGGGGGGGAGGGGGAGGGGTCTTAAGCCACCTCACTCAGCTGGCAAGTTAGCGAGACTGTGCCGTGTGTCCATACCGGAATATAAACATTATACCACCTGGCCAATTTTATAATGAATTTAGGTAACTACTACAATGAATCCTAAGGTTATCCTGATATTTTATCCTAAATTTCCTCCACCAATATGACACTAATGAACATGACCTATTTTATTATCGCCCTTGTGTGTCAATGACTGACCTGGGTGCCAGTGATCAATGACGTCAGCCTTAGTGCCGAGACCTAACGCAACTATATCTACATTAGGCAAAATTGTAAAAATTTTATTCAAAAAGTACTTTCTAATTCCTCACTTACTAATACATAAGAACTTCCCACCCCGAGCCGACAGTACATGAGAACTTCCCACCCCCAGCCGACAGTACATGAGAACATCCAACCCGCATATGACAGTACACGTGAACTTCCCACCCCCAGCCGACAGTACATGAGAACATCCAACCCGCATATGACAGTACAAAAGAACTTTCCACTTCCAGTCTACAGTACATGAGAACTTCCCACCCGCAGTCTACAGTACATGAGAACTTACCACCCCTCGTCGACAGTACACGTGAACTTTCCAAAGACACACTGTTTTTAGCCCAAATAAATGAAGGAGAGAAGATAGATACGACCCACGACCTTGAACGCTTCAGGTAATCGGGACTTCAAAGATAGTTGAGGTGTGTCCATAATTAAGGTAAAAAATACGAAGAAAACCGAAGAGCGAAAGAGAACAAAAACGATGACAAGAAAAATCTGAAAAGTTTATTCCATTGAATACGATGATGTAGACCCTTGAGTACGATGACTTAATCCCTTGAGTACGATGACTTAAACCCTTGAATACAATGACTTAATCCCGTGAGTACGATGACTTAAACCCTTGAATACGATGACTTAATCCCTTGAATACGATGACTTAATCCCTTGAATACGAAATAATATGTCCTAACCCTTTGAGTATTATTTATAAACCCTGACAGTACGATGTCTTAACCATTTGAGTACAATGACCTATTCCCTTGAGTACGATAATACGGTATTCAATAAACTATGCCATCCAACTCAAGGGATCAAATAGTAGTTGTAACGATCGTGTTAGGTGTGTGAACAACCATGATCTGTAAACAACAATGACTTAACCAACACTACGATAAACTAATACTAAGTTTAAAATCATTGTAAATTGAGAATAACTTACAGTAAAAAGGTTGATGACTATTTAACTAGACGGTGGTAGGTCTTGCCTTCATTAATTATATTGGCTTTATTCATTATTAATAAACCACTATTATACTTTCAAATCTATTTCCTGTATTTATATTTGTTAAGCTACACAATGTATCTTCTTAATTACACTAAAAGTTTTATAAAATAGTTATTTCTTTGATAATTAACAAACTATCGAAGTGTTTCAGTGATCTGGCGGCACTGGACATCGGCACTGTGTCTATGTCTTAGTTAATGTTTCCTCCCATAAGACATCATTAATACACAATCTTAGATATAGTCTATTTATATTTAGACAACTTTCGGTGTAAATTAGTATTTACAGAAATAAAATTAACGAGGGATTTTAAATATTACGAAAATAATTAGATATTTTTCCTCAGAATTTGGGAAATACGAAAAATTTCTCAAAAACTCCCCTTAAAAATATATAGTATCAGTCCTGTAAGTACTGCTAAACTATACGTTTTCTGCATTACCTGGCAAGAGCCTGTCATGCCTGTATTATGAGTAACCAATAACAATAAGTTGATAAGGTAGGTGAAGAAAGTGTTGAGCTGTAGGGGGAGGAAGGAAGGTATTGTTGGCCTCAAGGTGTATCCTGTACTGTACTGTACACCTCACGCAACAGGAACCTTGTCTAGAAGCACAGCATTGTACAAGGTAGTAAAAGTTCTTAATACCACTAAATTATATACTGTATGTGTCTGCCACACCATTACCACCACTGCATGCTTGTCTGCCAGTCGGCATTGATGTAGAGTGTAGACCCAGCTAAACATCTGCCCGGAAACAAAAGGTCTCACAGAGACAACCAAGTAAATAAACAGAATAAATAAACATTAATTATATAGATAAACACACCTATTATAACGAGGTTCTTAGAGCAATACATACGATTTTAGTCGACCAAGACGATGGCTTTCCTGGAGACAATGAATACATGAAACACAGTGACCCTCAACACAGCTGGGCAACAAGGATGAGGGCGATGTGGGGAGGTGTGGGGCGATGCAGGTGGTGCGATAGTGGGCGGGAAGGGTGGGAACCTGCCTCCTGACACTATGGTAAAACCCTCCCCATGTGAATATTTCATCTGGTTAATTGCCGCACGAGAATGACGAGAAGTTTTTGTAATAGATCTAAAGTCCTGTATGTCCCTAATTTGGACATCTATTACAGTAATCTTCATCAGTGGCCACATATGCTGTGACTACACGCCGTGCACATATTTCACAGACGTGACAGAGGAAACCACTCATGCCTGGGATAACAGCACAAGTGGGGAAGGGAACACCTGACAACTTATCCACTGGTATTTCTAATCACTTTTTCAACTATCTCACCGAGAAAAAGTTTACTGAGAGAAAATTGCAGCCAAATGCAGAAAATACACAATAAACATAATTATGTAAATTATATAACGAGATATTGGAGAGTGGGTCATTTAACATAAGCTTCCAATACAAAAATAGGAGGAAAGATGTGGTGAACATACTATACAGGTTAACCAGTGTCTGATACTTTTAACTGGTGCTGCTGTGGTGTTGTATATCTACGGTCAAAAGTTCGCCCCTCCTAGAGTGAAGCAACATCGACCCCAAATGAGATAAACAGCACACCTGCACCAGATACCAGTCAGGTCGGACACTCATTACTGTGACTCAGTTTCCCCGCGGGGAGAGTGGGAGTAGTACACTACCCTGTCCTTTTGATGTTATAGTTTTTGTATTCCTACTTATCGTTACTCCTAAATATTTCTCACAGTCGGATTTCTCTATAACAACGTTGTTCATCTAATATCTGGTTTCTCTGTTTACACCACCTAGGCTAAGTACTTTACATTTTTCCACATAAAATTTTATAATTTCATCTGCCATTTTTCAGACCATGCAAAATTTTTTTTTATATCTTCCTGTAGTTTTGCGGAGTCCTCGTCAGATTTAATTATACGCCCTATTGTTGTGTCGTCAGAAAATTTACATATGTTGCTGTCTACGTCTAAATCTATGTCGTTTATGTATATAATAAATAGTAATGGTCCAAGTACTGAGCCTTGGGGTACTCCACTAGTGACGTTACCCCAATCGAATTTAGTGCCGTTAATTGCTTACTCACTGTTTCCTGTCATGTAACCACGCCCTAATTCAGTTTAAAATATCTCCTCCAATTCCACGAGATTCCACTGTACTTATTAGTCATTCATGAGGACTCTGTCGAAGGCTTTGATAAAGTCGAGGTAAACCACATCATAATCGTGTCCGCCAACCACTGATTCGAAAACAACTGAAGAGAATGAGAACAGATTTGTCAGACATATTAATTTAGCAGGACAAAGGCAGAGGTTATATGTCAAGGTCAATGGGACCTGAGCTCAATGTGTGAATTATTCATTTTCAAGTCTTGACCCCCAATGTTCAGAGCTTAACTCCTTAAAGGAAGTAAATTAAAAGGTGTAATACTAATCATTTATCATTCAGAATATTAATTTTCAATGGTTCAACAGGTTGTGTTAACTACCCAAGGTAACAACTACAAAACTGTGTTCGTATGTCCTTGAAAATATTAATTGTCAGGTGTGGGGATCCCAAGTGGCTATCACAGGTGATGGTGATTGTGTACAGGAAGTCGCTCCACACGACCCGGGAGCTGGAGGGGTATATATAAGTGAGCTGCCGCCAAGTAAATCTCACATTAGCACAATACAAATAACCTCCACCATGAGGTTCTTGGCAGCGTTGGCAATGCTCGCCCTCTCGCTCTCACTAACAGGTATGGTCGTCTTCACCGTTAGCAACACTTGTTTACCGTCAACATCTGTGTTACTTCAACACTCGATATAGAGAAATGCATCAAACACTGACAGTGCTGAAAGTTAATCTTACGGTAATGTTTTGTGTTGCCTCATATTTTCAGAAGTTGTTGGGATATAATCTAAATCTTGGTATTAGACGATTGTTAACTCTGGTATTCTTATTAGTTTAAGGTTTTCTTATATCATGGTTGTATATGAGTGGCAGCCATGTGGATACAACGCCCATTCGCCCAACACCTGTTCTTAGGGTCACTGGTTCACGCCCGGGCACCCTAAATCCAGATAATTGTGGATGGATAACAAACCTTACAAAAATACGCCGTGTCAAGCGAAGTGGCCAGGCTAATCCAACGTCAATGCTTTCTTGTATGTTGAGGACTTAGTATTCAGTGTGCAGTATCCACACTACCCCTAAAGGACGGGTTAGGCCTACAAAATCCATATGCACTCTAAACACATTGGTAAAATATACAATGCTGAGGAATTGTCCACAAGTCACCACATCAAAAATGTTACGAGGTACAGTAGTCTTCTGGGTTAACCACTAAGCATCACCAATCCTCTCTCTCCCCGAGGTGTGAACCCTGAAATCTGAAGTGTGATTTCGAAACATTCGCAAGTGAGTGGGAGGGAAAGGGGAGGGGTGTGTCGGAGTAGGTGTCTTTCTGTGGGGGAGACAGGGTACTACGGGTGAGAAGGGAAAGTGTATTTGAGTTGGGAGAGATTACAATACAGAGGAATACTTTGACGATACCGACGGAGTTTCCTCAGCTGAGTGTAATCGTCTAGCGTTAGCCAGATTAAAATACTAAAGTTACACATTCAGGTATACATGTTCCAAGGTTTACAAGAGTACAGCTCACTGTTGACAGGAATTATGACTGACTGTTCGTGGTATCCCCAGAGAGCGTGATGGTGTGTTACCTGGAATCCTGGGCTGTGTACAGGCCTGATAAGGGCATGTTTGATGTGGAAGACACAGACCCAAACATTTGCACTCACCTGATATTTGCCTTTGCTGGCATCACCAACGACGGGGAGATTAAGGTAAGGGCAGATGTAATTTACTCCACACTTGTGTAACTCGTTACAAAATTATTAGATTTGTGTGTTCAAGAATTAAGCAAAAGTTATCAGCCAATCCTAAGTATTTTATGTCACATACAGATATTTTGTACTGAGTCATTCATCCAGAATGCAGCTCACTCTCAATTCTCATGTAATGTTTATTTTTTAAGGTACTTGACCCATTCCATGAACTTTGCGACAACGACGGTGAGTGTGCCTTCGACAGGTTCACCGCTCTGAAGAAACAGAATTCTGAATTGAAAACCACACTCGCTGTCGGGGGCTGGACGGAGGGCTCCGAGAAATACTCCAAGGTCAGTTGAATGGAAATCACCTCTGATTATAAAACACTGCCAGTCTTAATACAGTATTTGGAAAGACATATGAACCATATTCTTAAGGTTACCTAAACTGTACACAGATGGCTGCAGATCCTGCCATGAGGCAAACATTCATCAGCAGTACCATGGCACTCTTGAAGGCACACGACTTCGACGGTCTAGACATGGACTGGGAATACCCATGCCAGAGGAGTGGAATGCCCCAAGACAAAGTAAGATATTGTGATAATGTTTCAAGATTACATTGACAGTAACATTGTACTGTGGGTTCAGACCTCAATACTGTGGACATTGATGGTGAGGATAATAAGTATATCAATGTCCAGGAGAACTTCGTCACCTTGTTGGGGGAGCTGGCTGAAGCGCTCCACGCAGAAGGGATGATCCTGACAGCCGCCGTGGGTGCCGGAAAATACACAATCGACGAGTCCTATGACGTGCCGGGGATAGCTGAACACGTGGACATCTTGAACCTCATGACGTACGACTTGCACGGTGACTGGGATAACTTCGTGCACCACCAGTCCGGACTCTACCCCTATAGGGATGACTACGGGGAGATGAAGTACCTCAACGACGTAAGTTAACATTATCATTGTTCTCATCCATTTGAGTTAACACTTGACATCCACACTGGCTGTCTCTATGAGTATGATGCATAAAGACAACTTTAACGCTATGTTTGGTGTCTGTACCTATGTTTATCTTCTTTTGTGCTCCCTTCGTGTCTACTGTTTTGTGGAGTCTTATGGAAAGAGGTGGATGGACATATGGCAAGTACTTGTTAGTTTTGTGGGTCTAGTTGTTTTGACAATAGGGATGCATGTTATACTTTTATAAAATTAAATAAAATCACATTTTCACATTAAACAATACAAGATGAAACACATATATGGATAATCACACAGTGTCTGGTGACTGTATGCAGGGTGAATAATGGAGATGGGAAGAGAGGAGAAGGGGTGATGGTGAAGAAGCCTGAGGTGGAGAGACCGGGAGGTGGTAGAGTGGGGGTGTATGGGGGGGGGGAGGTGAGTAGGTTTAGTAGTAAACAAAGTTGTGGTAGAATGAAGATGCAGAGCAATACACACGTAGAGTAACGCCTTTATGTTTGACACATGTAAGAACTCTCATCTGAAGCTCTATTGTGGAATACAGGTTCACTTATTGTACTTAGAAAGTTTGGCAGATTGTTATTGCCTTTAGCATGTAATAGAGGAAAAAAAATTCTGCTAATTTAACTTATAATAAGAGAATTCCAGGCTTTACGTACAGAGTGAGCGTGAGGGTTATGGGTAATTACGATAATTAATATTGGAAACCAGAGACCTTGTCTCTGTTCAGGTGTGTCACTAAGCTGTGTGCTTGAAGTGATCACCTGCACACGTAATGTAACATAGTGACCAACTGGTGACACACCTTTCCTTCATTCTGGTGCAGGACTACGCTGTCAAATACTGGATAAAGAAGGGAATGCCGAGCAACAAAATAGCGATGGGTGTGCCCCTGTATGGCCGCTGCTGGACTCTGGACGACCCCTCCCAGACCGACTACTACTCCTCCGCCAGCAACCCTGGAGAACCGGGGCCCTGGACCGAGGAGGCCGGCATGTTGGGCTACAACGAGGTATACAAAACATTGCATTTATCTTTATTTCACTATTATACTACAACTATAATATTGTACAAAGCGCAATGACGGTCTATATGAAGTAAACTGAAATTATTAGTACACTTCAAATTCTTCGTAAACTGGATACCAATTAAATTCCTATTGATACTGTACACTCGTCAGGATATTTTTCTTATAATTTAATCTTAATCTTACATGACAGAAAATATAATAATGTAAAACCGTACATGAACTTCCTTCAGATCTGTTACGGACAAACGACGCAGCCAGATCAGTGGGTGATAGCGACAGCCGAGGGCATGAATGAACCTTACACCTACCGCGGCTCACTCTGGTGCTCCTACGAGAACCACACCTCTGTTGCTATCAAGGTAAGCTGTAAAGACCCTATCAAGGTAAGGTGTATAAGTTACCATTCAGGTAAAGTTAATAAGTCACTATCAAGATAAATTGTTTAAGTCACTGTGAATGTTAATGACCAATGTACGAGTAAGGTATGAGAGAACTCCACGATTTAGTGTTAATGATGTCACCGTGCGTGTTGCAGGCTCAGTACGCCAAGGCGCACAACCTGGCGGGTATGATGGTGTGGAGTTTGGACACTGATGACTTCCGCGGTGACTGTAAAGCTCGTCCCTTCGACCTGATCAAGACCATGGTGGAGAACTTTTGAGGCAACGAATGAACCTTAATAGATCCGAGCAAAACTGTTCAAAGTTGTCCAGCAGGATCCTTCTTTCACTGAATGTTCATAATTACAGAAGAAACCCACTTGAAGAACATTATTATGAAACACTAAATGACATTTACCTTAAAAATCAATTTTGTAAAATTTAAAGGCTTACCAACTAATATGTATATTAGAAAATGCTTAAGAATATCTATCAGATACCTAGCGGGTCAAAAATTTAAATCGATTACTAATAAAATGGAAGTTTGTTTATGATGTATAGATTATCCCTAACACACTATCCATGAATATTAGTGTTATTAACAATACACTGAAGTTGTTTGGTATATATTATTATACTATGTACACTCCCTCCAAAAAGGATCTTTACGGAGGGGTCCGATTAACTTTAAAATGAACAACGCGACTCCTGTTGTCTCGGTAGGGTTGTTAAATTATTTGTCCGTTGTGTCGTATTGTCTAACATAAAAAAGTAAAGATATTTTTGGAGCAAGTGTTACACGTATGTAATTTAAGGTCAGCAGTAATACATAAAAAAAATTAATATCAAACTAAACAGTAGGAATAATGCTTCCAACTGTATTTAGGATCTCCACACTGAGAACTTTTTACGTTTGGCTGTAAACCCAGGAGTTTCATTTCTAACAATTAGTCAACAACTTATGTAAAGTAAGTAAAGATCAAAACAATTTATTATATTTTGGTTCTCCCCACGAGCATACATTTATAGAAATTATCCAACTTCAAACCGAGACAAAAATAAATGTGATTTTCATGGAAGCTGTTTCATGAATGTCTACTGTAAGCTGCCATCAGAGCACTCCATCACATGCTTGAAAGAGGGTAGGTTTAGTTACGTTAAATTAAGTTAGGTTAGATTAAGTTTGGTAGGCTAGTTTAGGTCAGGTTAAGGTTTGGTTCCTTGGCTTGGAATAGGTTTGGTTTAGTTAGGTTTGGTTAGGTTAGGTAAGCTAGGTTTGGTTAGGTTAAGATACTGAGGAAAACAAACAGAACTTTGCCTCTCGAAAAAATGCAAATACGCTGTGGAATCAAGTGGGCTTTATAAAATACATAAAACAAATTAAACAAGTACCTCGTCACTGATGAAACCTTAAACCCACCAACCAACTTGACAGTGTTGCCGCACCGTATAAATTTTCCCCACTTGATAAATACAAAATTCCGTATCCCACACACACAATATATTAACACGAGAAGCACAACAACCATATTAACCAGAGTTAAATATATACAACCATAGAACTTTATAACCAAGATTGCACAACTGGCATCAACCATTTAACCAGGAATCTACGTGATATTTGTCCATTAATCTAGAATTAACCTTAATAATTAATACAAATAAATTATATCGGTTAATGTTATTAGGCATAAAATCTACAAAAAAATAAAATTCATTCCATAATTCCTAAGAAACTAATTGAGGAAGAGTTAAAACATTTAAAGTTTCCTGATTTTACCATCACTGTGTTTGTCTGCCACACCACTACCATTACTGTGTTTGTTTGCCACACCACCATCACTGTGTTTGTCTGCCACACCACCATCACTGTGTTTGTCTGCCACACCACCATCACTGTGTCTGTCTGCCACACCACCACTGTCACTGTGTTTGTCTGCCACACAGCCATCACTGTGTTTGTCTGCCACACCACCATCACTGTGTTTGTCTGCCACACCACCATCACTGTGTTTGTCTGCCACACCACCATAATGTACATAGTAAGGTTGGGTCATCCTCTACGGTCACAGTTTGTAAGGTCATGTTATTCACACCCTCAGGCGTCTCACCTTCCTTCTGCTGCCTTTTCAAGTCGTCAAAGTTTGGTCTACAGAAGTGTGGGATTTCAATGGCTTTAATACTTTAAATATTAATGATATCTAAATAAAATGTGACTTGTCTTCCTGTGATATTTTTTCCCCGTTTACCCTGTGGTGTCGCAGGTGGTGTGATAGTATCAGTGGTCCAACAGGTTGTGTCAACTACCCAAGGTAACAACTACAACAATGTGATGTTGTGTCCTTGACAATATTAGTTGTCAGGTGTGGGGATCCCAAGTGGCCATCACACGTGATGGTGCTTGTATACCGGAAGCCACTTCACACGACCCGGGAGCTGGAGGGGTATGTAAGTGAGCTGCCGAGCCTGTCGCCAAGTGTATCCCACACAGAACCAAATACACACCTCCACTATGAGGCTCCTAACAATGTTAGCAATGCTCGCCCTCTCGCTCTCACTAACAGGTAATGTCTCTAGCGTTAACAACATTTGTTTACCGTCAACCTCTGTGTTACTTCAATACAGTTATAAATATATCACAATTGACAGCTTAGATACAGTGAATAATCCACCACTCTCTCTTGCCACTTGTACATAATCACCAAACATTACCGCCATTGATGTTAATGCTTTGTGTCGCCCTAAATTTTCAGAATTTGGGGGGGGGAGGGGGGGAAAGAAATCCACTTCACTGTAAAAGGATACCCCCCGCCTCCCTGTGATAACAAACAAGCATGGGAGAGTCGTCAAGGAGAGACACCTGACGAACTTTTTACTGATTACTCATCATTTCACCAGGGAAGATTTATTGTTGTTAATGTGTGTGTGTGTGTGTGTGTGTTTACAACATGACTGTTTGACATATTGAAGATGGATGCTTTAGTTCTAGGTCAGAAGGGAATGAGATTATTTTCGTGAAGGACGATGGTCGACGAGCTATGACCGTGTACGTAGTGGAGGTAACGTCTATGGTATTCTTTAGACCTTGAGTGGAAATAGTTAATTAATCTCCTTATGTACAGAGTCTCTCTCTGCTGATAAAATCGCCTGACGTTAACGAAATAAAATATTAAAAGTGGTGTCCCGTAGTGAAGGGATTAAAGGGAAAAACAAAATGTAGAATATTAATAAGGAAGACAATTTTACATCGTAGTTCAACAGGTTGTGTTAACTACCCAAGGTAACAACTACAAAATTGTGCTCGTATGTCCTTGAAAATATTAGTTGTCAGGTGTGGGGATCCCAAGTGGTCATCACAGGTGATGGTGATTGTGGACCAGAAGTCGCTCCACACGACCCGGGAGCTGGAGGGGTATATATAAGTGAGCTGCCGCCAAGTAAATCTCACATTAGCACAACACACACAACCTCCACCATGAGGTTCTTGGCAGCGTTGGTAATGCTCGCCCTCTCGCTCTCACTAACAGGTATGGTCGTCTTCACCGTTAGCAACACTTGTTTACCGTCAACATCTGTGTTACTTCAACACTTGACATAAATATATCAAACACTGACTACTTAGATAAATAGTCAGGTTCACTATGTTAACATTTAATTGTTCGTCAAAAATTTTTGGAGATTAGCAAACCTAAACACTTTTGGAAACCTTATAACAAACAATCTGGAAAGCAATGTTGCCATTTACACATACGTGTATCGCCGTTATATTGGATTTCCAAAATGGCCGCCATTGATTACATATTTTCCATTACCTCCGCTTCTAATTGACCCATGCAGTTCATTTAACAGTCTAATCCTATATTTTCAAAGTCGAGAAATTCAATGAAACTAAGAGAACAGTGATCAGAAACACACACACATATATATATATATATATATATATATATATATATATATATATATATATATATATATATATATATATATATATATATATATATATATATATATATATATATATATATATATATATATATATAGTGTTTCTGATCCCAAATTGTTTCGAAAATCTTTTTTCCAAAAAGTTATTTTAAAGCAAAATAAATAAATAAATAAATAAATAAATAAACAAAATTGAACCTGGTATGATATGTAACAATGAAAAAAAAACTTAAGACAAATAATTACAGTATCTCGACCTCCATGACTCATACATAATGTCACCCAAAATTTATTCTCTGTGGACCACAGGTCACCAAACCACAGTGCACACTATACTCGTAGGTCCCCATTTTTTTAATCTACCACACACACTCTGACGCACCTGTTGCACTATTTACACAGAAAAAACTAATTGTCGAAAGGTGACAAACTCTTTGCGTTGTTCCCAGAGAGCGTGATGGTGTGCTACGTGGAGTCCTGGGCTGCACATAGGCACGAAAAGTTTGACGTGGAAGACATAGATCCCAACCTGTGCACTCATCTGTTATTTGCCTTTGCTGGCATCACCTCCGACGGGGAGATTAGTGTAAGGACAGGCGTTTAAATTACTCTGCACTAATGTAACTTATCACCTAAGTTTTAGACATCTAGCTATATGTTTAAGATTTATTGTGTAAAAGTTACCATTCAATCATAAGCATTTTGTAGCACTACATTAGTGTCGGCATCAAACTCTGTACTGGGTTATAATACAGAGGACGATGTTAACTCCGATATTATATATTATTTTTTCAGGTACTTGACCCACAACATGAACTTTGCGACAATGGTGGAGACTGTGCCTTTGATAGGTTCACCGCCCTGAAGAAGCAGAACCCCGAGTTGGTAACCATTCTCAGCGTCGGGGGCTGGGCGGAGGGCTCTGAGAAATACTCCAAGGTCAGTTGAATAGAAATCACCGTCGATTATAAGACACTGGCAGTCTTAATGTAAAAAAAAAAAATACTGTATAGGCCATATTTATAATGCTATCTAAACTGTGCACAGATGGCTGCAGATCCTGCCATGAGGAAGGTATTCATCAGTACTTCAATGGCACTCCTGAAGGAACACGACTTTGATGGTATAGATATGGACTGGGAGTTCCCAACCCAGAGGAACGGGATGCCTGAAGACAAAGTAAGTTGTTGTGATAATTAACTCAGGGCCGCCTTCTTTCTCAGTGGTATTTTTGGTGCTTATCATATAATAAATAACAACTTGAAGAAAACATTTATCGCATTACAATTTTAGTTTTAGACCCAATTGAGAAAAAAAGGAATAACAAATTCTCGTGTGGTAAGACATGGGTTTGAGATCACTCTAGATGGTATGCAATAATGTGAGGCGAATGAGGTTGTGTAAATTTGTTTTACTTTGTGGCTCAAAATTTTGTTGAAGCAACATCATAAATAAAAACAAACATGTGAAACTAACCTACAGCATCAACACGACTTTCTCTACTAAAGTAAGACATAATGAAGCTTTTGTGAGCAGCCCCAGACATGACAAACTTATTAGTCAGCAGAGGGACACAACATGATCCTAATACTGTGTCCCGATAATCTGCCCCTCATAATGTGCACTATTTAAACCTAATACTGTGGATTTTAACCTCAATGCTGTTGACACTGATGTAAGGGTTATAAGTATATTAATGTGCAGGAGAACTTCGTCACCTTGATGGGGGAGCTGGCCGACGCGCTACACGCCGAAGGAATGATCCTGACAGCCGCCGTGAGTCCTTCAAAATACACCATTGACGATGCCTACGACGTGCCGGGGTTAGCCGAGCACTTGGACTTGTTGAACGTCATGACTTACAATTTGCACGGTGACTGGGATAATTACGTACACCACCAGTCCGGACTCTACCCCTATAAGGATGACACTGGGAATAACAAATACCTCAACAATGTAAGTTAACATTATTATTTTCCTTGTCATCTCGTGTTGACAGCTGACACCGTCATGTGGGTGTTATAGTGTCATGTTTTTTGAGTAAAATTGTATGCAAATTACGACAATTAATCTGGGGAACCAGAGACCTTGTCTCGGTTCATGTGTGTCACCAAGCTGTGTACTTGAAGTGATCACCTGCACACGTAATGTAAACCAGTAACCAACTGGTGACACATCTTTCCTTCATTCTGCTGCAGGACTTTGCTATCAATTACTGGATAGAGCTAGGAATGCCGAGCAACAAAATAGTGATGGGTATGCCACTATACACCGCCTGCTGGACACTGGATGATCCTTCCCAGACCGATTACTACTCACCAGCCGAGGGGACATACTCGTTTAACTACTACGAGGTACAATATACAAGTATCATTTTCACAATTATTAAAATATATAGTGTAATTACGAATTTGAATAGATTAAAATAACATTTACCAAATTATCGTCAATTACAACGCTTTTTATAATCGAATTTTATACTTTACAGATAAAAAAATATATATTTATATTTTACCCAACATTTAATCAAAGAAATAAGGTAAACAAGATAAACCCCCTTCATCCCTTTCCCCCAGTTCTGTTACAACCTGAAGATGCATCCAGATGTGTGGGTGATAAAGACAGCCGAGGGCATGAATGAACCTTACGCCTACTACGAGAAACTCTGGTGTTGTTATGAGAACCACACCTCCGTCGCTATCAAGGTAAGGCGTATCAATAGGAGGCCGCTGGAGGGGTCTAAGGGGGGGGTGGGGGTGGTGGAGGATCAGGTTTATATCTGAGGGGTTAGGAACTTCTCTTTTTTGCCTTTCAATCATTTCTATCAGATCGCCTTAAGTAAAAGAAACGATCTGTATGTAATCTTAACTGGCCACTTTGTTGAAGAAACAAAAATAACACTTCGTTGAGTAATAAATATACTTTGTAAGTGGAAGAATTTACAGATTTATTTAATATTTATGTGTAGGATTAAAAATAAAAAAGGGTGTTATTTTCCCTTCAATACTCCGCTTAATTTAATCGTCAACATTAAACCAGATACATTGCAGTGAGCCATGAGTAGTAACACAACTCTCACACATGTCCTCAAGTGTCCAAGTTACTGGGTGTTTCTCCTCGCCGGTACATTGCCGTGTCCTCTCCCTCCTTCACCCTCTGTCCCTCTCCGTGTAAATGTTAAGTGAAATGAAATATTAAGAGAATAAGTAACAAAAGAGAAAGGATGTAAAAGTATAAATAACGTAAGAGTAATAAATAAAGAGAAATAAGAGATATAATGTATAAGAAATGAGGGGAAAAAATAATAGAAGAGAAACAAAAATAGAAATAATAAGTATAAATAAGACCCTAAACTGTCACGCGGGATAACCAGGTGACAATTATATAAGAAAAAAATAATGTATTCTTAGCTTTCAAATAACATTGTTGTGAAATAACAGGAAACCTTAAAATAATATATGACAAACAAATATAATATTATGCTCAGCAATTCTAGCTTTGGGATCTTTCTTATTTACTTGCCCGAATGTAAGATAGTATTTCCCGGGCAAGCAAAGCACCAACGTCCTGGTACTGCTTGATGTTAGTGTGAGGTGTTTGGCACGAAGAGCACAATATGGTATCACAAAATACTCTAATACAAATTTTGCCATCGCTTCATGTGTACCAAGATAAAGGCTAGTGGACACTCTAGGAACAGATCACTATCAGAGTAAAGTGAGCATGTCACTATCCGAGAAGTTGCATTTCCCACACCCAACAGCATAGACTAGGTCACGACAGTGTGTGTGTTACATGTTTGGCATGAATCTGTAGTGACACAGTCGAGTTATAGTCCAGAACTGAGCGTCGAAGAGAAAGAAAAGTTAAGATAACACCATGAGATACAGCCATGGCAGGAAACACTTAACACGTGGACCAAGGGTGTCACTGGTATTAATAAAGGAAATAGTCATATGCGAGTGTTGTCAAGGAAGTGTCACTCATGACCAACAAACTTTATAAATTAAGCAAAGATGCTTATCACAGCCACATGACCTTACACCTGTAAAAACTGATAACTTGTCGAATGTTTCCCTCCTATTACTGGTGCCACATTGTGTGTTGCAGGCCAACTACGCTAAGGAGCACAACCTGGCGGGTATGATGGTGTGGAGTTTGGACTTGGATGACTACCAAGGTAAATGTCACGACCGTAATTTCGACCTCATCAGGACCATGGTGGAAAACTTCTCAGGCAGCGATGAAGTGCAAAAATCTCAAAGAAGATGAATACTTGATGTTTGTCAAGTTCACTCGTGACGTAAACTTCTCACCATGTTAATAATAATAATAATTAACGGCTTATTGAAAAGTACAGCAGCCAGAGGCTGATATTATACAATAGACAGAAAGACACAGTATTAGTATAGTGACATTAGGAAGTGATTTATCCAACAAAATATTTCAATACAAAAAAGAGACTTGGAGTAAACATACGGGTTGTCTATGAATCACTGATTATTTGGTATTGTAAAGGAACAAGTGGTCTGTAAGTCTGCCTTGCTAGTGGTGTTAATATTTGTGTTACTGACAACATACTTGTTTTAATAGATATCCTTTCTTGGAAAAATATATATATAATGATTACTGGTTTAGAAGTAGAGTAGCGGAACAAGTTACCAAACATCATCATGAACTCGAATACGCTGGATAGCTTCAAACACGGGTTGCATGGCTATATGAGCGATAGGGGTTAGGTGTAAATGGGACTACCCAGTATGGGCCAATAGGCCCGCTGCGATTTCCTCCATTCTTATGTTCTTATAATATAACTTGAAGCAAAAGAGAGATAAGCAAGATAAGAGCAGAGTCCATGATGGTGCAGCCACTGTCAACACGTCGCCACCAACAACTGCTAAGACTTTTCAGTAATGATCAAATAAACTATAGCAAGTGTTGAGTCTCAATACCGTGAAGAATGTGTATGGAGAAACACGTGGAAAACAACCAGTTGAGGAAGGCAGAGAACAAGTTCCTCAGAAGAGTTACAGTCTGTGGAAAACTTCCCCAACTCAGAAGTATTTCTGTGAGATAATGACAACAAACAGGAGTGCTGATTGTGTTCCTCCTGTCTGTGGTGAAGGTTTAGCATCTTATACCCATGAGGAGGCTGACAGGGAATACTTCTTCAGGTGGAAAAGATTCCCAGGCAAGTTAGTTGTTTCTCAGGGTGCACGAGAGTGGCTCTTCCATACCTCTTTTTCTATGCACAGTTTGTCTCCTCTCCTACTGTTCTGACCTTTCATACAAAACCAGAAACGCTACACAATAATAATGGCAAAAGACCGAACAAAAGAAGCTAAAGTAAACTCATTCTAAACGCCACAGACATAAGAGTGATAAAGAGTTGGCCGTAAACCGGGCTAGCTAGTATGGGCAAATAGGCCTCCTGCAGCTTCCTTCATTCTTATGTTCTTCTGTCTTTAGCGTCTTCCACATACAGTAGTCTTCATTTATAACGGGTACAGTGGCTGGCGTGTTTTGTGAGATGTGGCACCACCGCTCACCAGACAACCTCGAGACGACTTGACCTGTGGTGTTCCGGAAGGGTTATGGCACAGTTGACAAGATGGATACCTGATAAAAGTAGTACCCCTCTACCCCCTTCATCCTACCATCCATGCCCCCCCCCCCGTGTTGTTAGAGGGAGGGGAGTGTGTGTGTGTGTGTGTGGAGACTCATGAAATTGGAGAGGTGATCGCGGGTACCATCTTGGTGCTGGCAGACGTGAGGGTGGCCAGACACACCACACCGTTCCTTCACCCTCCTCCCCCACTCCTCCTCCTCCTCCTCATCCACTGACATCAACACTAATTTAATTTCCTACAATGTACACACTCCAGGTTTACTTAATACACTAAATAACACGTCTGTTGCATGCTTTGGGTGTATCAAGGGCAGTATTTTCTATATCGAGTACCATATATCTGTACACGCCCACGCCCATTACATAGTACAATCTAATACTGAAAAAGACAGTTCAGATCATGATAAAGTTCACCACACTGAAAAACAAAACAAAAATGCAAAATTCGCTCAGTGGTTCAGAATTATCAACACAATCTTCCAGATCGAGATCATAAACAAAGTTAAGCAGTGAAAATACGACCCGACTCTTACTAATTAAAGAAAAATGAGGAATGTTGTGTGTGTGTGTCAAGTGAGGAGGTGGGTGAGGCAGCTGGGATTATGAGATCATGGGAGCAGAGTGAAGCTACTATACTTCAACACCTAAACTAAAGTACTGTACAATTATTTAGGATAGAATATTTTACAATGTACTTATATTTTTGTTTAATTTTTACTCTTAAGTAAGTACATTTTAAAAGAACATATTATACACTAACTTAATTAAAATTTTACCAAATACATTAAGTAACAATGAATTTTCCCAAACATCTTTGAAATTTCCATATATAAAGGTGGTAGGGGAGGGGGTGGGAGAGGGGGAGGGAGGGGGAGGAGGGGGATCTCGACGTACACAGAGATGGGAGATATTATTCGACATGACTCATACTTCAACAGATTCCCTAATTCGACAAGGAGTGAGTCCCTAGCGGCATTTAGCATGACTAATTAAGTGAGATTTTGAATATAATTAGCTACATTACTATTTGTTTTGATTATTTTGTTTACTTTGAATTATATATATATTTTTACTCTATCTAAGGGTAATTTACGACTAATAATTTTTATTTAGCTTAATTACAATTTCGTCAAATTACTTATACTTAAAATTAGGTAAAAACAAAATGTAGTTTTTTTACACCTCTGAGTGACGGTGAGTGGGCGGACAGGTGAGGTGAGGTGAGGTGGATGACTGTAGTGAATTTGTTTAGTTGTGTCAGTCATCACTATGAATGCTAATCCTGACTGACTATTAGGATATTTCATTTTCAAAATTTCACCTTTTTGGCCACAGATCCTTCATTCATTTTGCTCAGAATCTCAGTATAGGTCGTCCTCTACGTGTGAATCAGGAGTTGTAGTCGGACTAACTAATTAAAACACCAACTGACTGATTGACTGATAACTTATACTGTCTGACACTCATAATGACCGACTGACAACCTATACAGACTGACATCCATAATGACTGACACCCATACTGACTGAGATACACACTGACTGACTGCCACCCATACTGACTGACTGACTGACTCCACACCCAACTCACAGAGAACCAGGTGCATGATTAACTAACCGAATGAGACACTGACAGACCGACTTCACTCACTAACTAAGAGAACTTTTTGTTCATGCCGAGCTGTGACACCAGTCCTCAATTATCTAGACTCGCGCCATACCAAATATTGTCTGGCTCTTCCTCTCATTTTAAACTCCCTGTGTCACAGTTATATAAGCCAGGGACATTATAATTCAACTGAAGATTAATCACCCACAGTTTATTTCACCTGATGATTAAACACCTAATTTTACTGGGGTGAGAGTGATTAGGTTAGGTTAGGTTAGGTTAGGTTAGGTTAGGTTAGGTTAGGTTAGGTCAGGTTAGGTTAGGTTAGGAACTCGGCCTCAGTGATGAATACAAACAACAGCTACACAATACAAGTTATCTACAGTATACAAAACTTGGAATTTTTTTTTTAAGATTCTTGATGTTCCTTCACAGACGACAGAGATATAGGTAGACGAGAGTATCGTGTTACCTACTCTTGAATGCTTCAATTTTGGGGTCATTTAGTATATAATGGTCAAGAGGGTAATGTAAATAATGCGTTTAAGTAATTCAAATGACCTTTATATAACAAGAAATGCGGGACAAGAGTGTGTTATCCTTTATCACGTGGAGGGAGGGAGGAGGGAGGAGGAGGGAGGGAGGGGGGGGGGGGGGGGGATAGGTTAGTGTTGTGTTTGTTTGTGTAGAGGCCCGGAGTCCTCACTAATGCCTCCGCCCTACACCTCCCTACACTACCCTACACTTCACACACCATATGCACCTGCGTGTTGGACCATTCACTTACACTACTGGGGCTGATCCAGGAATATCAAAAGTGGGTGGAGGAACATGGCGAGTACACCCAGCTGTAAGACCCCCCCCCCCCCTTGAACTTTTTTCTTTAATCTGACCAATATCTTGAGCATTTTGAAGCCATGTGCACTTGATATTAAGATATGTTCTGAGGTCAATAGTAATTAGTTTTTACTTTACAAAAACGCCTGAGTACAATACTGCATTAAAGAAAATGTATTGGAATTTTGTGATGAAAAGAGGGATCCAGAAACCCCTTGGATCCGCCCCTGTCACTACAGTCTACAACCCGGACATATACATTTTATAACTAAAGAAGAAGAGATGGTTTTGACAATTACTGTATGATGTTAATAATCAATTTAGAGACTTCACTGCTTATTAGGAGAGCTAGTCTATAAACCCCTTGTGTACGGGCTCCTCTCTGTGCTGAATAAATTCGTCCGACATTAGCTAAATAAAATACTAAAAGTGGCGTCCCCGTAGTGAAGGGGTTAAGAAAATTGTGTGTAGTATAAACATTAGACTGGAACTTTTCGGAAACTATCGCCACTGCCTCTATTGTGATGCTCTCTTATCAAATTGCTGCTGTGTACCGACTGTGAATAACGCTTAACAAGAACACAAGCTTCTTGATGATCTTCACTGTCAACAATGTTAACACCTGGCTGTACTCCGCAGACACTCGGGGCTCAGTTTAACACAAGACCTTCAACACTGCACCGATTGTAACACTAAATCAAAGCAAGACACACTTCTTCACCCCAGTTTAGGAGTTTGGTACGTGTGGGGGGTGATGCCACGTACAGTAGGAATTTCACAAGACAAATAATGTCTTCAAAAACAAGTGTGGAATTATAGGAAGGTATTTCTCTGACATTAATATAATTATTATTATCTTTATTATTATAATTATTACTATTATTATTATTATTGATAGGTAGTAGTAGTAATGTTAATGTTATTTTCGCCACTTTTTGGCCACACTTACATATCAAAGCTACACACAACCTCATTCTCAGTTTCTAGCGCGCAGAACACCTCATCTTAATACCCAGGAGGGCTCTCTACACTACACACACACACTATATATATATATATATATATATATATATATATATAGATATATATATATATATATATCCTTCTTACACTATCTATAATTCCCTCAAAACACCTACACAGTGTGGTGCTCCCTACACCCAACTTAGTTTCCTTGATTGGCCAGATGGACTCCTCCTCACTAGCCCCAAATTAACTTTATCAGTTTAACAATACAGTATTAGTGCCTTATTTTCCTAATGGTTCTCTATCCCAATGGGCCCTAATTTTTATATTTAGGCTACATTAGGTTAGGTTGGGACCTATTAGAACTGGAACCTTTATGTTCTATATTATCTACTGTAAGTTATAATCGCGTCTTCCACTGCTCTCATGAGGTCATCACGTAAGCCAGTCATTATGAGATGTCCGGCCTGTGTTACCCTGGTATAAGAGAAGGTTTCGGGAATATGTTTATTTGTGGGGCAGTGGGCCGCTGTCTC